TCGTCCTGGTGGTAGGTGAAGCGAGACCGGCAGGCTGTGGTTCGCGGCCTGCTTCGCGGATCCTACCCCAGTAGTAGGCTGTCTAATTGTATAGTCTTGAGTTGTATGGTCCACACGCACTGATATAGAATAAAAGTTATTATTCCTTGTTATTTGGCGGAGTTACTTCAAGTAGCTCCTGGCGCTCACTCAAAAAGTCAGATAACCTCGCCCCCTCTACTGATATTACAAAGAGTTTAGCCGGACATCACCTAATGTAATGGGGAGCTATAAGGAAAAGACATTACATCGCGCGTCACTGCAGGGCGATGTAGCACCTCCGAATCCATTTGTGAAGAGCTGCTCCACGTGGGGATGGGGAAATCGATTCTTCAGAGCTTGAAGTATAGCTTGGAACAATTTGGCCAACGTTCCATGAAAATCCAAAAGTTCGGCAAATTGCCGCGTTGGGTCATTTCGCAGTTGAGACGTGCGTCATGATCGCATCCCAGATCCCACAAATCTCTGTATCTGGTGCCATGAGCTCACCGTAGAGCTGGTCGCGTCATTTTGCCAAGATACGGCGAAGCCGCTGTCTGATTACTTATCGTTGTTCAAGTGGAACCCTTCGTGTTCGCGATCTCTCGACAAAGATAATGCCCCGGCCATGTTTTTCTTTTTCATTTCTCACACTTATCCATACGAATTGTCCATGAATTCAATATATCGTTTCAATTACAGCCGTCGTGCCTGTCCCAAGCCTGTCCATTGTTTCGTGGAGCGCATAAAAGTACCTTTCACCCCCTGCAGTTGTTGACACCACAACACATTCGTCGCTGAGGTGGAAAGGCTCCACTGCGAGAGTCCTCCGGCTCGGTCTCGGCGCGGTCCGCGGGCCAGGCGCCCAGTCCCAACCGATCACGTGCTCGGCGACCAAATGTCACAAGTCGCGGTCCCCATATAGCCCAGCCCAGGCGAGCCCCGCCGCGCCAGACACCTCGGCGACTGGACCGGCCGGGCTGTGCCGGGCGGTGCCGGGCGGTGGCCGCGCGCTGGTACCCGGCCCATGGTACCCGGCCGCGCCCGCCGCCGCCTCCTCTCACGAATACTATCCCCATAAAACTCGTCCTGGGGAATAAATTCATCCCAGGCCGACCGACCGCACGGCGCGGAGCGGCACGCCATCCCGGGATGATCCCATCCCGCCCTGGAAAAAAGGAGAAAAGAGAATAATGGGAGAGGACTGCAAATTTATTGCCGCGTTACCCAGGTGAATGACTCGCTCGCTCGCTATCCGGCGACTTCTGCAAGAGACGCTCTTTGAGGCGGGCGTACTCGCATTTGGTCACAGCCTCGGTCTCACCCTTGCGCCGCGTTAGGCGAGGGTGGCGTGGGAAACAATACCACACTATTTAACGACGAACTAATCCATCCGGGCACTCAATGATGAATGATGATAAAACGTGCTGTCGACTTTGTAGTTTTCTATTATCGTATGCGTCTTTAGGCGGTTGCTCCCGCGCCATTCCCGTCGCGTTATCCATCTCCACAGCAGCGTATTCAGGGAAATATCAAATTATTTGAAATGCAGCACGGGAGTATTTTTTGAAATGATCATGTATTTATTACATAGTTATTCCGCTATTTACAATAAATCACAGCAGCATCACAATTGGGACCTTAGAAGAGCTCAGCGCTGCTCTTTGTATTCTCCATCATATCACTACCCTGTTCACAGAGTATTTTAAAACCTTGTCACATCTTTAAATCTACTCACAGTTCACGCATATACAATACACAAGCCTTTCAAACGAGATGACTTTTGTACGTCTCGAGGATTACACGCAATAAATATTCCAAATAGTGCAAACAATCTTATGCGAAAAAAGTATTATGGCTTATTTAGCAAAATTGCTAATGGCACACGTGTATATTCATACAAACCACTAAAAACACCTTTACTGCCTGTCTCACTATGATACGAGCTGCCTAAGAATGTTATATTCTTTTTTGTACACCGGATCACAAGAACTTTTCTAAATCTATTTGATCATGATTTGCCGACTAAGATAGGCTCTTCTACGACCAAGGTTAGTTGGAGTCTAGGCACTCATAATATTCATAGGTTACAATTTCCATCATCATAGACGACTAAAATATAGGTACAATTAAATTTCTTTAGTTTACATGAAATTAGACTAACTACATCAGCTTCTTAAAAGCTTTTTAAAATTGCTTGTAGGACCGGGTTTCAGGTACACTGATACTACAATAGTGCAACATTCTCGTCGAATAAATAGTCGTAATAACAATATATACACTAATAGGTGATTTTTAAGGTACACATAATACTTGTTTAGCTCAGTACTGAATTGTAGGCCAATATTTGTATCAGAAACAACTCTCCCCGCCATTGTTTCGTTCCAATCGCGGTCCCCCATTGGCTGGCACTGTTTTAGGGAGTTGCCCTTAGGGGACTCGTCGGCTGCGGAGCCACGCTATACGTTTTGCTGCCACTCAGGCGGCCGAGCCGCGGGTGAACCATGTTCACCACGACCAACCCCGCTCTTGAAGATTAAGCTCAAGCGGTGCTGCCGCTCTTCAGACCGGGCAGTGCTGCTTCCTCCTGAGCAGCCGGCGCAGTCGGCTGAGCTTACTCCTCTTGCTTTTCCTGGACGGGTCGGCCGCCTGGTTCTCCTTGTCGTGATCCTGGTGCTGCTGGGGCGGCCGCTCGTCGGACGAGTGCTCGGAGTCCTCCACGTCGCCGAGGACTCCCTGATCGTCTCGCTGCTGGTCCGGTCTGTACAAACATTTAATGGACGTTTAGTTACGAAACCCAGGTATCCTACGGCGAACTTGACCTAAGGGATGATTCAGTACTGAGCTAGAACCAGGAAGACGGACGGGGTGCCGGCAAAGCACTTGTCCAGCCGACGGCCAGATTGTGGTCGCATTATCAACGGATTTTATTTCTTTTTGTCCCCGGCGACCGACAACGGCGAAATCGTGACAATAGATTGATAACCGTTATCCGCGACCCAAGAGAGAAAAAGATAAGACATGATAAAAGTACGGCCGTGGCGGAAACCGGCGGGTAGCTTGTCCCACCATGAGCACGAGACCTGGCATTTCCTTTTCACTACGGTTAATTTCTGTATTAGATTCCTTGCAATAATACAAAAAGGCAGAGTTGGCCTATATGTCACCCCGCGAACCTAACCCTAGGAGATAGCAGCTAGTTTGAGCTACTACACACTAATGTGACATTTTTGCAACAAGCTGAGTTTAGATACACTATTGTAGCTAGTCTCTAAAGGTGGATTGTTAGTTACAATATTGTATCCCTGAACTCAGTCAGTTAGCACTCAGCAGAGGTCCGGTACAAAACCTGTCCTCGGACATTTAGAGTGTACACATTAAAAGTTCCCGCGGTACTCACAGGCCGGCGATGCTGAGCCCGGAGAGGTCCGTGTCGGAGAGGTGCGCCCTGAACTGCTGGCAGGCGGCGATGCGCGCCATCTTCGGGCTGTTGCTCCGGAGCCAGGAGGTGAGCGGGAAGCTGGAGCGGTCCCCTAGGAACTGCTGCAGGTCCGGGTGGCGGCCGAGCGGGCCCTGGTGGCCCTGCAGGCCGCCCTGCAGGCCGGGCTGCAGCAGCACGTCGGTGGGCGTGTTGGGCGGCGTGGCGGGCCGCTGCTCGAACACCATCAGCACGTACAGGCGGGGCTGGTGCGCCTGCGGCACGCGCGGCGGCTCGAAGTCTGCAACAGCAAGACGCTCGGGTCAGCGCACTCGACAACACGGGGGGCAATGGGAAATATTTGTGTGCCCCCTAAAAAAAGGTCGCAGCCCATGTTGGGACAGGAAGGTCGCCA